TCAACTTTTTTGGGAATGGGAACAAATATGGATCTCTTCCAATCAGTTGGCTAGGCAGTTGTCTTCCAAATTTCTTGACAAGTAGATCTAATCTCTAGCTCTAAGAGAGATACACATCAAAACAACTATGAGATATCATCTCACCCCCAGTAAGAATAGCAAAATTTAACAGAACAGCAAGCAACAAATGCTGGCGAGGTTGTGGAGAAACTGGAATACTTATTCACTATTGGTGGAAATGTAAAATAGTACAACCACTGTGGAAGGTGGTGTGGCACTTTCTAAAAAAGTTGAAAATAGAGATACCATTTGACCTAGCAATTCCACTACTGGGAATATACCCCAAAGAAACCATAACTGGCATTCAAGCAGATATATGCACACCTATGTTTATTGCAGCTTTGTTCACAATAGCAAGTAGCTGGAAACAACTTAAGTGCCCATCAACAAACAAATGGATAAAGAAGCTGTGGTATATTCACACAATGGAATACTATGCTGCATTGAAAAGCAAGGAACTCATCAATATTATTCAAAATGGGTGACCCTGAAGGGCATTATACTGAGTAAAATATCTCAGTCACAAAAGAACAAATATTGCATAGTGCTGCTGTTGTAAAACAAGACTGACATCAGGGTTGAGGGGAAATTGACAAAGATGGGATAAATAATGTATAATGCATTGAAACATATGAGGGAGAAAACTATTTAAAAGGGGTATGTTATGGTATTATTGTCATGACAGGAGTCCAGAACGAAGGCTGCATAGTTGAGTGGACCTGGGGGGAGGGATTGTAAAACAATGAAAGAATTTTTCTTTTCTTTTTCAAAGAGAAGAGTGTACCTGGGGAGGGGGAGGTGGGCAGGGAGAAAAGTGCAACAATGAATAAATGGAAATCCAAAGTTTCTGTAAATTTTAATTAAAATTAATAATAATTTAAAAAAATTTTTTAAAAGTACCAGTGATACAGTGGTTAATCACTTGACTACTAAGATCAGCAGTTTGAACCTACTAACTGAGAGAAAAGATGTAACAATCTTTTTTAGAAAAAGCCTTAGAAATGCTGTAGGGCTGTTCTAGTCTATTGTTTAAATACAGCTATGAAATGAAATCTACTTGGTAACAAATAGACTTGGGTTTTGGTTTAAATATACATTAGATCTTGCCCTCTTTCTGTCTCTCAGAGACATTTTTTGAGTGCCATGGGGTCAATTCAAATTCATACTGTAAAAATGAAATTTTTCTGAATGTTTTTAACACTTGCAAACTTTTTTTAAAAAATTGTCGTGTGTGTGTGTACTGTCAAATCAGGCTGGTACAGATCACCTTCTGATGATTGCCCCTCCTTCTCAAGCAGAGTATCTGGGGGATTCAAACCACATACCTCTGGGATTGCAGAGGAGCTTCTTGCCAGTAGACCACAAGAGCTCCCTGCAAACTTATATTTTTTGTTTAATTTTGCTTTGTGTAAGCTGTATCTGGGGCAGATGGCATTGCCTTTCTCTATTTTATCCTCAAAATTCTCATTCTTCAGATTTCTCCCCACCCCAGCTTTTTCTCTCTGTTCTTCACATGATCCACAGCCTCATCGTTCTGGGTTGTTTGTTTTGTTTTGTTGTTTTGTTTTTTGTTTTTTTTTGTCTGTAGGACAAGCACGACTTCAGGTGTGTTTCTAGAGGCTTTGTTTTCCACATTACTGTGATTCTCCATGCCCCTAAAAAACTTTACCGTCAACAGTGTGGTGGGTTTAAACACCACACGGTTCGAATAAAGTTTCTCTTTTTCTAGTTCATTTTTTAATCTTTTTCAGTCAACTCATTATGTTGTTTATTGTCCTCCTGAGGTTATACCACTTCCACACGTGTTTTCTCTATCTTTCAGCCTCCATTGTTGGTTTTACGTCTTTTCTCGTTTACCTTTGTCCATGGCCAATGATTGTTATGAATTTTACACGTTTCCTCAACTTCTTATTCTTTCCCTCTTCCCTTTCACCATTTAATGTAACTCCAGGCCTCAACAAATTCAGTCACCTACATTCTGGTAATAGAAAACTGCATCCATCATATTCATCTAAATGTGTGAGAAATCTAAAGGAACTAAGTGCTTCTTTATATAAAATGGGCTATGTGGTTTCTCACTATATTGTGGGGTTCAGCTTATAATTAGACAAGAGTTGTCGTGGGTTTGCTTTTTTTTTTCCTATCAGCTGTCACTGAGAGATTAATTACCGAGAGATCAGTTTTAGACTTCAAGTCAATTTTTGCATGGATTCGATTAACTGCCTCAAAACGTGAAACTAATTCCTTAGAAAGAAATGATTGTTGTTTCAGAATCGTTTCTCCTCAAGGATGCTCAACACTCAAAGCAGACTAATGCATATTTCTTCTACAGAAGAAAGTCTTCATGGTTACAGTCATTGAATAATCATTTTTTTACTTAAATATGTATGAATTACTGGTTTAGTAAATTTGCCATGAAGGTTTTGCCTTTATTTATAATTGTAAGAAAATAATCAAGCAGGAACTCGGTTTCGGTGACCAAGGAGATGTAGTATCCAGTTTTAATCTCAACTTTTCCTGTTGCTTAGCAGATGCCAACCACCTTTAAAGTGTGCATCCCACCCCTACATTAAAAGCACCTGGGACAGAAAGAAAAAATAGAAATAAAGATATAATTGTACAAGCTGGACAAATAAGTCACTCATTAGATAAAAATGTTGTTGTCGTTATTATTGCTGTGTCTGCCCGAGTCAAAACTGACCCTCCAGCAAGTTTTCAGAGGCAATAATCCCATGAGAGGAGATTGCTCATCTTTCTCCCATCGAGCAGCTGATGGATTTGCACCACGTACCTCTGTGTTGGCAGCCTGATTCCTTACCACTTAACCACCAGAGCTTCCTGGCAAAAACGTTAGTCGCGTTAGAATACTCTTCTACTCACCTTGCTGCTGTCTGTGTCCTACTGCTCCGACTTCTTGGTATGATTCCTGAGGATTTCTGTCAAGAAAGCAAACTTCCTATGGACAGTCATCAGAGTTTGTGCTGCCTGTGAGGGACTTGTCGGTGATGAATGAAGTGGCCTGTAGCAAAGAGAGAAAACGTGAAGAGGGAGGCTAATTCTGTTTGAATGAAGGCCATAGCACCGTACCTTTGTGTTGGCAGCACGGTTTCTGACCACTCCAGCTGCAGTTAATCCTGCCTTATGAACACTAGCTGAGCATGAGTTGGCAACAGACATGAGAGATGTCTTTTTGAGAGGCTTTCAAAAGAAGCCAGACGTACTCTTATGCTGAGTTCACAGAATTGCTCGTTCTATTTAGAATGTTATTGTTGTGTACCATAGAGTCAGAACGGGCACATTGCTGACCCTCTGGCCGGTTTTCAGAGGCAGTTAACAGCACAGGAGGAGACTGCCCGTCCTCCTGCAGAGCCGCTGGTGGCCTCCAACCACTTGCCTTTGCGTTTGCAGCACAGCTTCTTGCCACTAGGCCATTAGAGTTTATTTAGAGTGGTATCATTTATCCCTCATGAGAAAAAAGAAACTCTCAAGCCACCTGTGCTGATATAGGAAGGAAATAGAATTTTGCCTTGGGTTTTATACAACTTGTGTTAAAAGACTGGGCAGGAATATAAAATAAAACTCATTTCCCAGCATCTGTCCTTAATTAAGGAAAAGAACATCTTCAAAGCTGCTTCTGTAAGATTATTCTCTAGGATGAGAATGGTGAGAGAGTAAGGCTTTACTTCTTAGAAACAGTTAACTGTGTCTGGATTTTGCTATGCCTTTTGCTGAGATTCTGAGGTGGGAATGGAAGTTAAGCGTTTGTATTTATAACTCAGTTACTTCCTAAAGAACCAGATTCCTCCAAGGAGTCTTCTCCTTACTGTGTAAATGAATCTTCCTCCAATCAAATGGACCTTGGTAGGTTAGTAACAAGGATCTATTCCATAAGGTCAATTAGCAGTATTCAGCAATGGAGTACAAACAAAACCAGTTCCACTGCCCTCTGGCCGAATTATGGCTCAGAGTGACCTTGTAGGACAGAATAGAACTGCGCTACAGGGTTTCTTTTCAAGGTTGTAAATGTTCACAGAAGCAGACAGCCAAAAATCTTTCTCGAGAGAGTGACGGGGGTATTAAACACTTGATCTTTGGGTTAGCAGCTCGGTACTTAAAACACTGCACCATCAGGGCTCCTAGAAATGGAGATTGAGAAGAAGAAACGATTGTGTTTTAGAGAGATGTCAATTATAAGTGGAAAATGTAAGGAAATGAGGCTGTCTCAATATGAGGCCATCCTCTGGGTATGATGAGAAGAAAAGTGTTCTCATTTACAGAAATACAGCCAAGTAATTGTTTGTTTACTTCATTCTACGTTCCTTCCTAGCTATGTTCAGTCCTACTCTAGAAATGGAAGCTAAGTTTAGCAAATCGTTGGGTTGTTTGTGTTTAGTGCCCAACATTCTTAATTAGCAAAGTAAAATGCCACAATCCATTGTAAATCAGTTTGCTTAACTTTCAAACTCATAAGGAATTGTGTGTTGTCCAAAAGCTCCTTTCCAGGCCCCTGCTGATCTGGCGCTCATTCGTGGCTTCCCTGCGGAGCTGAGTGAAATAATGCAAAGGGAGCCAATTAAAGAAACTCGGAGCCAAATCAGACAAGCAGCGGCCATCGTGTCCACCCTTCTGCCTCCAGGCAAAAATCCTGCGTTGGACCAAAAATGTTTGCTTGAATCCTGCTGATAAAAATGCTCACCACATGTAAATGACAAGTCATAATCCAGTTATTGCAACTAAAGCAGATTGTTAACTGTTTAAGACTTGGGTATTGTGTTTCAAAGATGCTGAGTCTGAAAGCCTGTCCTGAATTGTCTTAATTCCCCTTTCTCGATAATAATTTTGTATAAAAAGTGCATTCAAATAATTAGGAAGCTCATGCAGGTTTGTAAAGTTGTCTTCATCGTCTTATTAAGTGGATTTTTGGTTTCCTCTCTCTCTAGGTCTACCTTACGGGTGGGAGGAAGCTTACACAGCAGATGGAATCAAGTACTTCATCAAGTAAGTACAAGCATCCCAACCAAGTAAGCAGTTTTCCTCACATCTGGAGAGAACCTGGGAATTGCAGAATAATCAGCAAAACTGAAATACCCTCTTAGAGGTTATGGAAATTAGGAACAAGAAATGAAGCCTCACCGTTTTCATTTCATGTGATTTAAACTTTAATATCAGATATCATTTGGAGGGAAATCCAGTACTTACATCAAAGGGAAACATCAAAGAAAGGAACAAGATTATGATTTGAACTTAAGAGTTGACTACTCTGAAGATACAATGATGAATTAAAATGTGTGGCCGGAGTTCTCTTTGGAAGCAAGGATGGCAAGGCTTTGTAGCTCATACTGTATATATGTTGTGAGGAGAGGTTCTTCCTTAGAAAGGATATCATACCTGGGATGATGGAAGGTCAGCAAAAGAGAGGAAGACCCCCAATGAGATGGATTGACATGCTGACTGCAGCAATGGACTCAAATGTGTCAGAGATGATGAGGATGGCACAGGCTAGGACAAGATTCAGGTCTGCTGTTCATAGGCTTGCTCTGAGTTGTACTCGACTCAGTGGCACCTAACACCAAGAGTTCCCTGATATCATTAAATAGATATAATAGTGAGAAAAGCTAGGCTGTATATAACTTTAAAAAATAAGTAGGTCAGGGTACAAATGTGTTCTAAGAATTCTCCTTTGAGGGATGTGTACTTTATCATTTTCCGCATTTTATAAAAGAAGGACATGAGATTCCTGAATACATCCAAAACCAACAACCATTCAATTACCACATAAGAACTAGGATCCAAGTCTACCAAATCCAAGACCTTTTCAGTCCTACTACACTGTCCCTCAGTAAGAACACATCCTGTTGCTGGGCTGGTTAGTTGTACCTAGACACTACAGTCTGATACACTTCCAGTACTTTCTGGGCAGTTTTTTTTATGTCAGAGAACACAAAGGGGAATCCCCTCAAACTCATAAGAACCTAAAAAACCACCTAATATCCTTTCTAGCAGTCTACGCTTGGTGTGCATTTTGAGAGGAAAAGATAACTTGTATTTGCTGTCCTTTCAAACATGCAAATATTTTTTTTAAAAATCCAGATTTTAAAGCCTCAAGATTTGTAACTTTACATAGGTTCATATATCTCTCTTAATCTATTTTCTCATCCTTGAATAAGGGAAATGTTACCTCCTTTTGGTTGTTCTTGTTGCGTGCTAGTAGGTCGACTGTGACTCAGAGCAAACTTCTAGGCAACAGAGCAGAAGTCAACAAGATCCCGAGTTGTCCCAGAGTCACTGCTCTTCCTGAGCCCCCTGTGGGCGCCATCGTGTTAGGCCATCCGTGTCTTGAGAGCCTTCGTTTTCCCCACTGAACCTCTGCTTTGCCAAGCATGCTGTCTTTGTCCCCCCACCCCCCGATAAATTCCCCAAAGTAGGTGAGGCAAAGTCTTGTCATCCTCGCTTCTGAGATGCATCTAGCTGCACTTCGGAGATGGACTTGTTTGTTCTTTTGGCAGTCTTGTTCGATATTCTTCACCAGCACAATTCAATGGCCTCAACTCTTCTTCAGTCTTTCCTATTCACTGTCCAACTTTCACCTGCTTATGGGGCAATTCAAAATACCAACATTGTATTTTTGTTGTTGATGCTGTTGTTGTGAGGTGCTATTGAGATCACTCCAACTCATCAGGACCCTAAGAGGAAAGAACCAAACCTTGCCCTACCCTGCACCATCCTCCAAACCCCTGCCATGCTCAAGCTCACTGCACAGTCACTGTGTCAGTTTATCTCGTTGAGGGTCTTCTTCTTTCATGGACACTGTGATTTTTAATGTCTTTTTTCCAAAGACTGGCCCCTCCAGACAACATGCCCAGAGTATGTGAGATGGACTTGCATCCTTCTGGCTCTGAGATCACCAGGTAGCCCTACCTCCAAGAAGGATTTATTTATTCTTTTGAAAGTCCATGAGCTGTTCATTGGATACTCTCCACTAACACCAGAATTCAAAGGCCTCATTTCTTCTTCAGCATCCATTATTCAGCTTTCACATGCATATGAAGCACTTAAAAGCATCTTGCCTCCAGTGAGGTGTGCCTTATAGAGTTGTTAAATGCTAAGCACCACGTACAGAACTGTCAACTAAGAACATAACCAATAAATAGCCATCATTAACTTACCATCTGGAGAAATGATTATATTTTTTTAAATAAAAAAGAAAAGCGTAGAAAGTAATAAGATTATTAAAATGACTAAAGATTCACAGCAGATTTGAGAAGATTTAAGAGGGAAACACGAAGGATAATTTGCCAGCAGATAAACAGGCTGTACTTTTTCTTTGTGATTTCTAGCAACAACATTATTAGAAAAGCAAATACATAGTTAGTAATATGTGATGGGAACAGAAACTTTATGCTGAGAATCAAGGCGTACCGTGCCAGTCACATCCGGACTCGGGCACCTTCTGCAAGGAGAGTTGCATCCTCACGGAGTTCCTTGTGATGTTCCTGGAAGAGCTGACTCATTGCTCAGTGGGAATTGCAGGAAAAGAAAAAGCCATGTTTAAACTTGTGTTGGATTCTCTTTCTCTCTGTTCTTTACATTAACTTTGTAGTTGATAAGGGAAAAGATACTGGAAAAGGGAAATGAGCATTTATTCAGCTTTGAGCATTTCTTCATGTGTTTGTTAACCATCTGAATGTCATCTTCGGTGAAGTGCCTGTTCATATCCTGTGCCCATTTTTCTATTGGATTATTTACCTTTATCTTGTGGTGCTCAAGTATTTCATAAATTCTGGATATA